AGAAAGAAAAAGTTTTTTTTTTTTTTTTTTTTTAAATGACTATACTGTAACCAAGATTTTCATTCCTTTCCACCAAAATCCCCAGTTAAGGCCAGCCATACGCAGGTCAGCAGGTCATTCTTCAACCGGGGGTTCACACTGTATGCCCCGCCCCTTGTGAAGCCCAGGAGCCTCCGGCAAAGCCGGTCAAGAAACCTTTGAGCTATGGGAACCAGTAGTTAGCATAATAGCTATGTCGCTGGACTCCCACATAGTCGACCGCGGTTTGCGTCCGGGACCCGGCGGCTTAGGCGCGTGTGCGTGCGTGCCCAAGATCCCGAGAGGAGAAGGGATTGCGGCGTGGCCATCCCCCCTGGGGGGTGATTTCTCACTTTCTGTCTCTATGTCTCTGTCTGTCGCTCTGGCGAGAGCACGCAAAGGAAAAAAAGAAACCTTTGAGCTAGGCAGTCCCAGAAACGTGACTAACTTTCCATATCACTGGGTGCTGCAATCAGAAGGCTTCTCGGGCTCATTCTACACAAACACGCAGGCTGAGCGTTGCTAAGAGCTGTTTTCTGTCAGGGTTAAAAGGTGTGACCCGCCTGTTCCTGTATCCCCAGGAAGGGCTCCGCCGGGCAAGGCACAGCCTGGCAAGCCCGGGTCAGGCCGGGGTTCCCTCGAAGAACGCAGGGAGCTCGGAGCTCGAAGCACGGAGCACGGAGCACGGAGCTCGGAGCTCGGAGCTCGGAGCCGAAGAACGCAGGGAGCTCGGAGCTCGAAGCACGGAGCACGGAGCACGGAGCTCGGAGCACGGAGCTCGCAGCTCGGAGGAGCACGCGCGGGCGCGGAACTGGCGCGGCGCGGGAGGGGCGCGGGAGGGGAGGGGAGGCCGCGCGGCGCCTTCGGATCCGGACTCACAAGGGAACCGGCGGGGGCACCCGGCGCCTCCGTGTCCTCCCCCAGTCTCCGGGGCGCAGGGCGGCGGCTCACCCCCGATCCGCGTCCCTCCTGCACCCCTCGGTGGCGACCATGGTTACCCTGGCGGCGTGAGCACAGGCAGGCCGCAGCGATGGCCAGGGAAAGGCCCCGCGCC